TTTTTTTTCAAATGGCTTTATTTTCTTCTTTAAAAAAGCTAAAATGAGTGTTTTAGGATTTAGTATGAGATTTGTCTACACTTTTTGTGCCTATATTGTCTACATTTTTTTTTTGGTCTACATCAAGTGGGTTTGTATATAATATAATATCTTTATTTACTTCTTTAAAATAAAGTTGTGTTTTAGGTTTAGGATTTAGTATAAGATGCGTCTACCCTTTTTGTCTCTATATATATATTTTTTAATTTACTTATTTAGGTAGTTAGTTAGTTAGTTAACATAAAGTGGGTTTGCTGGTCTCCAAACCTGTGCAGATTGTTTTTTAGAGGGTTTTGTGCCACTCTTTGGCTGATCATGTAAGTGTGAAAATACTTTAAACAGAAATAAACAAATATGTTCATAACAAATGAAGTAAAATATTTCATTTTAATGTGATATAACAAATGTTATGTATTTTTATGTATATATTTATTTTTTCTTTTACATGTTATTTATATATTGCAGTTGTGATCATCAATGTTTTCATAGTTTACATGCATACAATAATGGTCCTGTTTTCAAAAACGTGCCCTTTGAAACCAATTTTGCATTTTCAAGCCATCAAAACGCTGTTGTTGTGTAAACGTACGGCCAAAACTCATACAAAGTTTTCCCTTTTTAGTTCTAAACACCCTCTAAACAACAACAACCCAAGTGGGGGCGGAGCTTAGAAAAGCATAATTTGTCAGTCCATTACAAACTCTCCTGACAGACTGCTGTTGAGTCAAATGGACTATAAAAGAGGTTTACACTATCAAAAAAGGTGTGGCACCCACGATGCACCAAGAGAAACTTTGGACGGGAACAAACATCCTTGTTCTGCATCCTGCTCTGCCCTGTCCATTCATCAGACGGGACATTTGTTTATCTGCTGTGACTAAGGCTCCTTTCTATTTTCACGCTTTTATTTGTGCCAAACGTTTATGACAGCGGGCCTCTTAATTTCCGTTCCTTGCGCAGATAAAGCAGGGGTTGTTCACCTCCAATAACAAAGCCTTTGTTGACGGTGCGTGTCCAAATGCAAATCCTCTCCATTCTGTTCTCTCGTAGGTGGGTGTGATAGTCACACTACTTCTGCTGCTGATCTTCTCCAACAGCAGTGTGTTCCTCTTCATCGGCACCTGCTGTCTCGGCCTATTTATAAGCAGTATCTTCCCCTGCACGCTCGCATTCACTGAAGACGTCCTGGAATACAAAGGTATTGCTACAGATGGACCGCCGCTGTCTCCGGCATTGTTAAATCGCCTTTTTGTCCACGGCTTTCATTGATTTGACAGCAGCTATTGGTGGTTTCAAAGTTCAGTATTTATTCAAGGTTTACTGCTGAGCCGAAGGCAACAGGAGCCGCCGCCCCAACTTTTAATTCTTCCCGCCATTGGCCTTCGTCTTTCTGGTAAGGTTTGGCCCGAGTCCGACAGGTCTTGTGTCTTAACGGCAGAGACAAACCTTTTTAAACCCAGCGGAAGACAGAGACAATCCTTTTTAAAACCAGCGGTCAAACCCTTTGGGAGGAATTATTTAAAAATAAATGGCTAATTACCGAGCGCCCTCTGTATGCCGCAGATATGGCGGTTGTTAGGGTAGAGCGATTAAAAAAAAAGTCATTATCATTAAAAATATCTCCATCATTAGAGCAGGTCTGGGTGGGAATTCAACAGACTGGTTTTAGCTGTGACCGAACAGATATATAAATGCATATGAATCCTGGACAATTTGAATAAAAATGAATGGGAGCAATCTCATCGCTGTTGAAAGGGAAGTCCTGACATCGACGGTGTGTTAAATGGACCTGCATTCAAATTGCAGTGCGAGTTAATGTGGCGATTAAGCAAAATCAACTTAAAATTGCAGTATGGATTATTGCAATTGTCAATTAGCAAAGGTTGTGATTTAATTAAATATATGTATGCGCGGCGTGTTTCAGAGTGAAGCATGGCACTGTGCTTATTTTACACGCAAGCACTTCCAGTGTTATTTTAGTATCAAGATACTATTATTGTTGTATTAATATTTTGAATTGGTTTTTATTTTTGTATTTAGTTTTCATTTTAATATTTGTTAAAGTTTTTAATCTTTTTTTTCAAATATGACTATATAGTTTTTAGTATAAAAACTAAAATAAGTTAAACTAATTGGAAAGAGAGAAAATAAATTGATTTCATGTCAGCTAACATTTATTTTAAGTAATTTTGTTGTTGTTTGTTTTAGTTAACTAAAATACCCCTCATGGTTTAATGTTTGAAAATTAAGTATTTTAATTTTAGTTTTGCTGTAAAAGTTTTTTTTTCCTGTTTGATTTCTTTGTTTTACAGTGAATTATTGTAATATTAGTATTTCTTCTTTTAATTTTTTGACTACCATTATTATTATTTTATAATCATTTTAGGTATAATTACCAAGT